ACTCTCCTCCAGTATTCCCTGAAGGCAGAAGTAGATAATCAATGACGACAGTTGTGGCCATCACAGGTTATATTTATTTATGAAATTAGGTATGATTCCTCTTTAGAACAACTCTCTTGTAGTGCCAATTTTTGTTCCCCATTTACTCGAAAATCTAAAGCCTCCAAATGCAGGTCTCTACAATACTGTAGACGTAAAAATCTACATGTACGGAAGGGGGGATTGATCCCGTGAGGTTGAGGCCATTAACGATTCGCTATACCTGCACACGTAGAGAAACGAACGTGAAACGACGGAAGACACCGGGGTGGTGTTTGTCGTAGGCACTCCGACACTCAAGTTAGCAAGGCTGAAAGACTGATTTAGTGAAGGCTAAGGAGTAAAGAGGTTACCAGAAGTTTAGTTGGGGACTGTGACTACGGCGGTAAAGTGAAGTTCTCAAGCTAGAACTCCGAGGTCTGTAGGTGTAGTGTAATCTGGAGTATAAGAGGGCTGACCTCTATTTAAATAGTGACTGTCTGGTCTCCCAATCCTGGTGGGATTGGGAGTCTCATCGTGATCCGTTTCCTCCAGGGATATATCCTTTGATCGCCTTATCTTGGCATAAAAGGGAGTCAAAGTATGACTCTGACACGGACCTTGAGGGAGTTGGGGTGGTAGTAGGCTACTCTACTAGTGTTCGAATAAGAATGTGATCTGTAGATGACCGTGGGCTCTGAATTTGTTCATAGCTCCAGGAAGTGAACTGGGATTAGGAGGCTTGTGCCCGGATGGTTTGGGCCGACTATAGCTCGTATCAAATGGGCCTAATGCGAACTGGGTTGTATCAGGGTTAGGTCTCGACTTTTCCTCGTTATGGGCTCCGTTTTACTATTTGGGCCAAGGACGATTTTTGGCCCTAACAAATACAACATGATTTTTTTATTTTTATGGGCTCCAAAACAGGTTCCAAACAGGTTCCAAAACGGGTACCCCCTACAGGTTCCAAACAAGGTACCCTTTTTACAAGTTCCAGTTCCGGTTCCAGTTCCTCCACATGCAAGAACCGGAACCGGAACCGCACAGTAGCGGTTCCAAAAAATTGGAACTGGAACCTACCCTCACAGTGCAGGTTCTGGGTAGGTTCCAGTTCCGGTTCTTACCCCGATTTCGGTTCTACCCGCTACCCGTGCTCACCCCTACAAATAATAGAGTTTAACGATTTATTTTTTTAATACTTATTCATGATACAGACAACTTGTGTCCATGTTCTTTTTTTTTTTTTTTTTTTTTTTTTTTTTTTTATTGGAGTAGGATTCCTATATAAAGAAAATGATATATCAATTTTTGTGTGGAGATAAAAATCTCTAAGAACCCTAAATCTCTCTCTTGGCCAAATTTCTTCTTCCCTTGGTGTGGATACTCTTTTGCTTAATTTCTCTTGAAATTAAGAGTCTCCAAGGTTGCTAAGGACTTAAGGTAACATGTTCTACCTTACTTATTTCAATTTGATTAGAATTTTTTTTTTAAACTATGACTATACATGTTATAGTATGATATGCTTGATTCTCCATGAATCCATCTTTCAAATCCAAGTTCTCCGATCGCGTGGCCAGATCGCAGATTGCATGTGTCAGAGCTCTCTGATGGCGTAGTCAGATCGTAGATTGCACGTATCAGAGCTCTCTGATCGCGTGGTCAAATCATAGATTGCATTAGTCAGAGCTCTCCGATCTCATGATCAGATCGCACATGTCAGAGTTCTCTGATCGCGTGGTCAGATCGCAAATCCCACGCATCAGGGCTCTCCAATCGCATGGCTAGATCGTACGTGTCAGAGCTCTTCGATCGTGGCCAGATTGCACACGCCAGAGCTCTCTGATCGCATGGCTAGATCACAGATCGCACGCGTCACGTGGCCAGATCGCAGATCGCACGTGTTAGAGCTGTCTGATCTCATGGCCAAATCGCAGATCGCATGCGTCAGAGTTGTCTGATCGTGTGGCCAGATCGCACACGTCAGAGCTCTTCGATCGCGTGGCTAGATCACAGATTGCACCCGTTAGAACTCTCGGATCGTGTGGTCAGATCGCTGGTGGGTTTTTGGGAGCAGTTTCCCCCAACTAAAAGCACGTCTTTTCAAATTGGACACATGTCAAACATCTGTTAGACCTCGAGAAACAAAACCCTTTGTTTTCCTACCTCTCACACACTGTACATGCATAAAACACATGTCACACACTCATCACACATGTGCCATGTGCCTCAAGCATCTGGCACATGCTAGTTGGAATTTTTGTATGGCCCTAGTATGAATTTCATCACTCGACTTGTCGTCGACTCGTCGAACGCTTCGCTATGACATTGAATCAATCTGGAAAAACCAATTCAATTCATCTGATAAGCATATGGCACATTCCATGTGAACATCTAATGCTAACATGGGTAAATTTCTCCATTCGACGTGTTATCGACTCGATGAACACTTTGCTAAAATGTCTAGTCGACTAGGCATAAATTAATCAGACATCACTGTATGAGACACTGTCGTGTGACTACTACATCTTAGTTGCAAGCAACTCCACTTCACTTAGTGTTGAGTAAAACCAAGCCCGCTACATGACATATCTACTCGACATCGTATCGAGACAAGTTCAATAAGCTTTAGGGCTTAAATCATAGCTCATTGGTCTCCACGTTCCATGTCAAGTGAAGTTCCAACATTTAATTTAATTCAACGCAACATTCATTGAGACAGAGTGCATACATCCTCCACTCGATAGGGTCCTGCACCCGCTCGACAAAGCAAGACAAATCGACTGCTCGAGTGGCATCGATTCACTCATTCAACACCTACATACCAACTCGAACTACTCTCTAGCTAAGAACTCTTAACTTAGATGGTAAGGGCAAAATTGTATGGGTAAAAAGGCTTTGTGCCAAGGCCCAACTCCCGTTGGTTTCACACCAAGCCCATCATTTAGAAGTTACGCCGATAAGTCGCGCCTTAGCTCCATGCGTACAGTAAAACCTATCACATACCTTGCCTTAAATTCCCATCACAATTGTACTAACTTGAGCATCGAAGTGCCTATGGCCAACACCACACTGGTGTCCAAGGGCTTCACGTTCACTATTATGTGTCTCTATCTACAAGTCTACAAGGTTGCCAGTGGGCTCTTCCCCAAAGAAGCATCCTTGCAAGCACACGGTAGACTTTGACCGTCTACAACCAACACTCCCAAGTTAACAATAGATTTTAATAAGAAGCTTCCATGAAAACTAAAGCACTATTCCAGACAGAGTCATCAGACTTGACTCTCCTCCAGTATTCCCTGAAGGCAGAAGTAGATAATCAATGACGACAGTTGTGGCCATCACAGGTTATATTTATTTATGAAATTAGGTATGATTCCTCTTTAGAACAACTCTCTTGTAGTGCCAATTTTTGTTCCCCATTTACTCGAAAATCTAAAGCCTCCAAATGCAGGTCTCTACAATACTGTAGACGTAAAAATCTACATGTACGGAAGGGGGGATTGATCCCGTGAGGTTGAGGCCATTAACGATTCGCTATACCTGCACACGTAGAGAAACGAACGTGAAACGACGGAAGACACCGGGGTGGTGTTTGTCGTAGGCACTCCGACACTCAAGTTAGCAAGGCTGAAAGACTGATTTAGTGAAGGCTAAGGAGTAAAGAGGTTACCAGAAGTTTAGTTGGGGACTGTGACTACGGCGGTAAAGTGAAGTTCTCAAGCTAGAACTCCGAGGTCTGTAGGTGTAGTGTAATCTGGAGTATAAGAGGGCTGACCTCTATTTAAATAGTGACTGTCTGGTCTCCCAATCCTGGTGGGATTGGGAGTCTCATCGTGATCCGTTTCCTCCAGGGATATATCCTTTGATCGCCTTATCTTGGCATAAAAGGGAGTCAAAGTATGACTCTGACACGGACCTTGCGGGAGTTGGGGTGGTAGTAGGCTACTCTACTAGTGTTCGAATAAGAATGTGATCTGTAGATGACCGTGGGCTCTGAATTTGTTCATAGCTCCAGGAAGTGAACTGGGATTAGGAGGCTTGTGCCCGGATGGTTTGGGCCGACTATAGCTCGTATCAAATGGGCCTAATGCGAACTGGGTTGTATCAGGGTTAGGTCTCGACTTTTCCTCGTTATGGGCTCCGTTTTACTATTTGGGCCAAGGACGATTTTTGGCCCTAACAAATACAACATGATTTTTTTATTTTTATGGGCTCCAAAACAGGTTCCAAACAGTTCCAAAACGGGTACCCCCTACAGGTTCCAACAAGGTACCCTTTTTACAAGTTCCAGTTCCGGTTCCAGTTCCTCCACATGCAAGAACCGGAAACGGAACCGCACAGTAGCGGTTCCAAAAATTGAACTGGAACCTACCCTCACAGTGCAGGTTCTGGGTAGGTTCCAGTTCGGTTCTTACCCGATTTCGGTTCTACCCTTACCCGTGCTCACACCCTACAAAAATAGAGTTTAAACGATTTATTTTTTTATACTTATTCATGATACAGACAACTTGTGTCCATTCTCTTTTTTCTTCATTCTTTTATATAAAATTACCCTTTACCCCTACCCCACCCCCCCCCCCCCCCCCCCCAAAAAAAAAAAAAAAAAAAAAAGGAGGGAGACTTTTTCGTTGAACAAAGCATGAAGGTGGTTTAAATTATTAAAACTTAGGAAGAAAGACTCAGTATTTTAAGATTTTAGCATATAGACAATGCACAGACGGACAGACTTCATTTCACTTATTCCAATTAAAAAAATATATTAAATGCATGTATCTTGAAAAATCATCAACTAATTATGTCTTTAGTTAAGATTTAAGCAATTAATAATATATGCTAATTTCGAAGTATATATCTAGGGTAATTGGGGACTATGGGGCATAGTAATTGTCTGCATTAGGCTGTCTAAAAGTGTAGGCAGTTTGGAATATTCAAAAGTTATAATAGTCTTCCAAATTTGCCAATATGAACCTTCCAAGAAAATCAATTAACACTACTCTTAAATTTCCATTGTTCTTTTACTACTTAATTCATTGTATGAGCTTGTACACAAGCAAGATTTGTTTCTCCATGTATACAATTCTATCAATTCTAGCTGGAAGAGGAAGGAATGAAATGCTCTTCAGCTTTTTATTTGTCATATTTCTGCTGGGGGCATCTTATTCTCAGACAGATAAATTACTTCAAGGCCAACTGCTTAAAGATGGGGATCAGCTGGTTTCTACTTTTGGAAACTTCAGGTTGGGATTCTTTAGCCCTGAGGATACGAGAAACCGTTACCTAGGAATATGGTACTATAGGCCCAAAGATAGAAGCAGCTTGCTCAACGTTTATCAGGATGCTTATTGCAATATATATTGTGGTGCGCGGTCGCGGTGTGCATTGAACAAGAGGGTTCAGCCTGTGAGGGTTCAGCCTGTGTGGGTTGCCAACAGGAATTACCCAATCTCAGACAAATCTGGAAAACTTATAATAGACCGCGCTGATGGAAATTTGAAAATTTTACACAGCAAGGGAAATCCAATTGTAATAAGTTCTGTTCAAGCAACAGGAAATACAAGTGCTACTCTGGAGAAAAATGGCAATTTTGTGCTGTATGAAATGTATTCAAATGGATCTAAGCGAGAGTTGTGGCAAAGCTTTGACTACCCCACTGATACACTTCTTCCAGGGATGAAACTGGGGATGAACTTCCAAAGTGGGCATAAATGGTTTCTGCAGTCATGGATTACCGATGATTCTCCAGCCCAAGGGCCATTTACACTTGGCATGGACCCCAATGTCTCAAATCGGCTAGTCATATGGTGGCACGGCGAAGTCTTGTGGAAGAATAGGCTTTGGCAAAATGGGCACAGCAGCAGCAGCTTCATAAATTCTGAGAGTGATTACTTCTCCTATAAATTCAGATACACTACCAATGAACAAGAGAAGTACTTCAGTTATTCTGTAAATGAAGACGACACATCGTTTCCAATACTAAAAATTAGTTCCAGTGGTGATCTCATGGATGACGTAGGATCGTTCGTTACAAATGGGCTGGACTACGATCGTTACTGTGAGGAAGGTAATGTTAATTTCTATTCCAGAGAAGGTTTCATGTCTGGAGAAGGATTCAAGTTCAAAGAAATTGACAACATGACCTTAGATGATTGTCAAGCCAAATGCATGAAGAACTGTTCTTGTGTTGCCTTTGCTAGTGCAAATAGCAACAACAATACCGGCTGTGAGATTTGGAGCAGAGGGACAAAGTTCGTACACTCTTTCAGCAGCAATTATCGCACAATATACATGGAAGACTTCGGACCTCCCAAAGGTAAGTCTGCTCAAAATATTGAAATTGAATTTTGAAAAGAAATAAATACTGCTCAGCTTTTAATTCAGTTTTGACGGGACCCTTTCATTTCTCAAGAGTGCTTTGCTTCTTCAAAGGATTTGAAACATTATTGTTTTGTAAGAATGATTCTAGACTTTTGTGGCAGAGGACTGATAAGCGTACTCAATTGNATACTGCTCAGCTTTTAATTCAGTTTTGACGGGACCCTTTCATTTCTCAAGAGTGCTTTGCTTCTTCAAAGGATTTGAAACATTATTGTTTTGTAAGAATGATTCTAGACTTTTGTGGCAGAGGACTGATAAGCATACTCAATTGTCTTTAAAGGATTTTTTTTAATATTAATTAAAATAGAATTCTTTTGTGGCAGGAAATAGTTGGTGGCAAAAGCCCAATGCAGAAATTAATTGGTGGCAAAAGCTAATCATTGGAGTAGTAGTAGCTCTAGCGGTACCCCTTCTGTTTTTCTTATGCTATCGAATACGGAGAAAATACAAGGCTAAAGGTATGCAATCTATCAAAATATATCATCTCTGAAATTTTTGACAGTTTCTACTTTTCATGTAATTACGTGAAAGCAATGTGTTCTGTAATTAATTGCACAACTAAATACAAGATTTGTTGTCCTCTTGATTAATTGGTATCTTAGTCAACTTATCTTTATCTTGATTGTTCTAACTCTGAAACGCATTTATAATTGTTGTTAATGTATAATGAAAATTAAATTTGCTTTTCTTGTTGTAGAGGAGAAGTGGTGGCAGTCACTAGGAATAGTCTTAGTTATACCTCTGTTATGCTACTATAGCTATTTGATCGGGAAAAAACTCCAGGTTAAAGGTAATCTAGAACAAATATAATATTTTGATCAATTAATATCTATCTGGATTCATAAATTTTAATTATGTGTATAATCTTAACTAGTGGAAAGCATATGGAATCGATGGAAACTATTACATGAACTTGGAGATAACATCTCAATATCACTTCCAATCAAATTTGGAAAGCGAAAAGCCCAAGATAAAGATCAGAAACAGGATATGAAGATATTTGATTTTCAAACCATTGCTGCTGCAACAAACAATTTCTCAACAACAAATAAGCTTGGACAGGGTGGTTTTGGTCCAGTTTATAAGGTAAAATTGTAACCATCACTTTTATTAATTAGGTGAACAATCATCAATATATCACTATTAATGGCCAAAAATGCCATGGTTTCAGGGCAAATTACCAGATGGGCAAGAAATAGCGATAAAGAAACTCTCAAAAAGTTCAAGACAAGGAATAGTGGAGTTTAAGAATGAAGCTAAACTCATTGCCAAACTACAGCACACTAATCTTGTAAGACTTCTAGGATGTTCTCTTCATGGAGGAGAAAGAATTTTAGTCTATGAGTACTTGCCTAACAAAAGCTTGGATTTCTTCCTATTTGGTATGTCTCTTCAAACTTGCAATTAGAGATTTTAACTCTTAAATCTATCATCTATCATCTATCAACTGCTCATTACTATCTGTTTGTTTCTTAATTTGAGACAGATTCTAGTAGAAAGAACATTTTGAATTTGAAAAAACGTTTAAGTATAATTGAAGGAATCGCTCAAGGACTTATTTATCTCCATAAATATTCAAGATTAAAAGTGATTCACAGAGACTTAAAAGCCAGCAACATATTACTGGATGACCAAATGAATCCAAAAATATCAGATTTTGGAATGGCAAAAGCTTTTGGGGTGAATGAGTTAGAAGCAAACACAAATAGAATCGTTGGAACACAGTAAGTATATGTAGTATATACACAGTTACAACAAACTACATTGTCTTCCAACAAAATTAATGTATGCTGTTAAATTATTTTTCAGTGGCTACATGTCTCCAGAGTATGTTTTTAATGGTGTTGTCTCAGTGAAAACCAATGTATATAGCTTTGGAGTCATGGTATTAGAGATTGTGAGTGGCAAGAAGAACAATGGCTGCTATGATACAGGGCGTCCACTCAACCTTGTTGGATATGTAAGTATTCAACTTTTGTACATTTCATCCTATCAAGGGACTTAAAACTTTGGATAGCATTGATCAATGTACAATAAATCTAATCTTAACTATTTCATTCAGGCATGGCAGCTGTGGAATGAAGGCAAAGGTTTAGAATTAATAGACCAAACAATGGATGAATCTTGCTCTCCCAATGAAGTGTTGAGATACCTGAATGTGGGTCTCTTGTGCGTGCAAGACCAGGCAAAGGATAGGCCAACAATGTCTGAGGTTGTTTCCATGCTTACAAACGAGACTATGGTTCTACCTGCACCAAAGCAACCCGCATTTTTCATTAATAATATTATTTCTGAAGTTCCCGAAAACAAGTTTGAAATTTTTTCAGCAAATAATGTAACAATTTCAAAGATGGAAGGAAGATAGAAATAGTTGTGTAGTCATAAGTGGATAAACACAATCATAAAGGCACAAAGTTGAGAACTATTTAGGTTTTCCAACTACTTGCATTTATTTTCTTTATCAGTTTATTTGCTGAAATTGAAAATCCAATCTATCATCAAAAACGACACTAGTTTGTAGAGATCAGTTTATGTGTTATTTTGTATTTATAGTATTATTTAAGTTTATCAACCATTGAGTTACATGGATTATCGATCAAATTAATAGCTTGAGACATAGCACATCCCTTGATTGGACTTAACCATATAAATATCCCATGAAAAGCTGTTAAGCGGACCCAATACTCCCAAAGTAAAAAAAGATACAAAATAACTTACAAAATGGGAATCTAGTTGCTCCATGGATAAGTACTCTAAACAAAGCCATCAGACTTGACTCTCTAGTCTCTCCTGAAGGCTGAAGTCGATAGTCAGTGAGGACAGCTCTTGCCATAATAGCTTAATTTACTTGTTAATTATAATCGACGAACTATAAAACAAAGCATTTCAAGCAAAGTCTCATTTAAACTTGGGTCTAAATTTGAATGTGGGTAAATGATATATTAACAGTGGGTAAAGGCACAAACATGGGCAACAATTAGAATGAGAAGAAAATAAATAGTAAATGAGAAGAATCATCAAACTAATTATTTATTTTTGTGAAGATTTAAGAAAATAAAAAAATATAAAAAGATTTTAATTTTCAAAGTGAAAATAACTATCATGGTTGAGGACTTTAGGGTGCACTATTAATTGTCTGCATTAAACTGTCATGGGCAGTTTGGAATATTTGTAAGCTATAAAAGTCCTCAAATTTTGTCAAATGAACCTTCCAAGAAAATCAACGAAAAACTATTAAAGTTAACACCGTCTTCTGTTAAGCATTAATACTGGAAAACATGTCACCTACTTTCTGTTAAGCATTAATATAATACGTGGAAAATATGTCACCTACTTTCTGTTAAGCATTAATACGTTGGCAAACATGCTGACAACCGACAGATTTGAGTAGTTGATGGGCGATACGTGGAAATCTTGAGATATGATAAAATAAACACCGTGGTGTTGCTTTTGACAACAATTCCACGTATGGGTCCACACGCCTTTTTTTTTCTTTTTTTAATAACAACAGTGATGGAACTAAGTGCAAATTATTTAAATAAAGATGTTTTCTGCATTTATTATAAACCAGTATTTGGTTGTGTCGAAGAAGTTTCATCGATCCCAATTCCAAAACATATCTATGGTTGACTAGTTGGACTAACGTTAAGGACACGAATCACACGACTTAGAATCTTAAAAAGTTGATACAAGACTTGTGAACTTTCCATGAAACCTGTTGGTGGAAATAATAGACCAGAATCATCAGAATTGACTAGATACAATAATATGAAATATGTAATATCCTTATGTCATGTGAATTTTTTTAGTCTTCTTTAATTATTTATAATTAACATTATGAAAAATTATTAAATTTTTTGCTAGAGTTATACTGCATGAACTTGAAAACCAAAATAATTTAGCCAACAACATCCCAAGAGATTTCTGCATTACATAATTCTGTTGGTTCTCATAATGACCAATAACCTCCTTTTCAGCAGGATGGTTAAAGGACAGGAAGGAGTTGGGGGCTTTTATTATCCATCCCTGAAAGACGAGCTAATTTGATGATAAGTCCGTGGAGAAGTAAAAAGATTTTTTTAATTAATAAATATTTTTGCTTTCGAAAAGCCAGAGTGAGGAGAGAATAAAATAAGATCTGTGGAAAAAGCTTTTCTCTTACTTTTTATTAATTAATTTTAGGGGAGTGCTTCTGTCAAAGATAGCTATTTGCATTCATACTAGCTAGGATTCCATAATCCCATCTGTTTCCTCTCCTTTTTACAACTGGAGAGGGAGGTGCAAGTTCGTGCAAGAAATATGTTTTTTTATTCGCGGTTAATTTTAACTACGTTATTCAGTTAAGTGTTATTGAAACTTGATCAATCAATTGGAGTTACAAAAAACCGAAGCATGATCCTTATTCAGTTAAGTAATTTTGGGAAGCCTAAATTCTGTTACATATCAGTACGTACTTTCGAGCATAAAGGTTACAGGAAGGAGCTAGGCTGAACTTGGAAAGCACGACTAGTTGGACTAACGTTAAGGACACGAATCACACGACTTCATTATGAAGTCTTTTTCAGATTTGAACATATGAAGTTTCAGTGAAAGATCTGAGACTAATGAAGTCAATTTTCACTGCATATACTCGGAGGCTACATTATGTATCTTGAAAAGAATCATCAAACTAACAACTGCTTGTAATTAAACTTCAGACCCTTTTAGAAATTTATCTGAATCCATAAAATAAATATACACTGGGAGTTTCAGGATTGTGGGGCACTAATAATGTCGCGTAGGACTAATTTAATAGAAGGCAGTTTAGAATATTCAAAAGTTACACATGTGACATGTCCTCCTAATTTGACAATATCAACACCTGAAGTCAATAGTCTTGATTTGCACTGTACTTATACTATTTAATTAAATTAACTTCAAACAATTCATATAGCTTGTACTAAGGCTCATTTCTTCATGTTCACAATATGGCTGGAAAGGGAACAAATCGCATCCTTTTGAGCTTTTCATGTCTTATACTTCTGTTTGGAGTTTCTTATTCCCAAACAAACAAATTACTTCAAAGCCAACTGCTCAAAGATGGGGATCAGCTGGTTTCCGCTTTGGTAACTTCAGGTTGGGATTTTTCAGTCCTAAAGGCACGACAAACCGTTACTTAGGAATATGGTATTTCCAGCATAAAGGTTACAGGAAGGAGCTAGGCTGAACCTGGAAAGCACGACTTTTGGGTATAGACTTGAGTACTTGAGTGGTAATTCGTGGAAAACTCGACTTACAAGCTGATAGATTTGAGTACTTGACGGGCGACACATGGAAAACTCAAGATATGATAAAATAAACAGTTAAACACGCATTGACTCATTTGACAACAATGCCACGTATAGGTCCACACGTGTTTCTTTCGAGTAAATCTTTCATATCCTATGGTATATACAAGTACAACCAACCAACCACAGGCTGCTACATCAGCACATGTGAGATACACTCCCCGTGGTTAGCTGGTTGTACATACCACGGATTATTCTAAATTTCATTGTTTCTTTACAACAACATTGAAGTTTGTTTTGCCTAAAAAATTAAAGCAAACATAAGCTTACATCAGCGAGCATCAATCAGAGTTTAAAAAAGTTTTGTACTATCCAGAATCTGCTATGTCACCCCATGACAGAAAGAATATAGCTGTCATTAGGAGTGTTCAATTCCGGGTACCCTACATTTTTTTAAGGAATCGAAACCGACGGTTCCTTCAAATTTGGAACCAGAACTAGAACTGATAGTTCCGATTCCTAGGTACCCAGAGCCAGAACCTGTAACAATAGTTCCAGTTCCGGTTCTGGGTATCCTATAAAATTACAATAACCCCCCAAAAGTTTTTAAAATGGCAAAAAACCCTTAAAAACTTACAAGTACCCCCCCATTTGTTAACAAAAATAAAATTACAAACTCCATTACTTTGTAAAGGTAGATTCTCAAAAGTAAAACCAACTTACTTTAAATGTTATGAAATATAAATATAAATATATTCACGTTACTTGTTCTACAAAAGCTTTTATTAACCCCCCTAATCTTTAATTTTATTTTATATTAGTCTCGGTTCCTGGTTCCGGTTCCTAACTATAGGAACTAGAACCGGAACCGCACAGCGATTCCAAAAATTTGGAACCGGAACCTACCCGTTGACGGTTGATTCTGGGTAAGAACCGAAACCAAACCCTAGGTACCCGTCAGTTCTGGTTCCAACCAGTTCTTTTGAACACCCCTAGCTGTCATCAACCTAGTCGACTCAAGTTTTGTGTGTGAATGAATTTGGTTCGCACACATGTCCAAGCCTCATATAATTTAATGATTTTTCCTAAGTTATCAATCAATGGGACGCAAGGAAGGACTTGCACGGCACCTACCCACTTGCAGATTTGTAATCATTATCTTGAATTCAGCGACTATAAATACAGGCCTCCCCTTCTCAAAATCAGGATGAGACTCTTTGAATTCAACAAAACAAATAGCAAAGACAACTTACTTAATATTCTCTCTGAATACCAAGCTCTTGTAATTTTGTTTGCTGTTCGCGACCTCTTGTAACTTGGCTAATCGCCAAGAACACTCATATAAGAGAAAACAGTAGATAGAGGAATCGCTTTAAGTATTCGAACCACTATAAAAATTCTCATTGTCTCTTTTATATTAGGTCTTTGCATGCTACTGTGACCTTTAACCAAATCCC